TGTGTTTGCAAGCAGTGTGTCTTAAATCTACCTGTGTTTGCAAGCAGTGTGTCTTAAATCTACCTGTGTTTGCAAGCAGTGTGTCTTAAATCTACCTGTGTTTGCAAGCAGTGTGTCTTAAATCTACCTGTGTTTGCAAGCAGTGTGTCTTAAATCTACCTGTGTTTGCAAGCAGTGTGTCTTAAATCTACCTGTGTTTGCTAGCAGTGTGTCTTAAATCTACCTGCATTAGCCAATCAGTGTGTCTAAAATCCACCTGGGTTTGCCAGTAATGTGTCTGTAACGAATCATAAACACAGTTGTGTGTGTTGTGATGTTGTTACTTGTAGGGTTGTAATGATCACCTATACCATACTGTGCATCCACAGTTTACAGACGTCCACCATGTTTATCCAAATAAGCACCAGAGGAATTTGCATCCCGACTTTTATGGACTGATGAACGGACACACAATAAAACAATATCTCTGTAGATCAGAGTCAAATACAATTCTTCATACAACTTCTTCTGTTTCACAAAATGAGCATTAAGATGCTGTTAATAACTGAAATGAACATGGCCAATGCCAAATACATGAATCGCTTCAAAACATTTATGACCGTTACACTGTATCCCATAATTCCTGACTTCCTGTTATTTCTATTTTACAAAACAATTCATTATTTTACGAAAAAAATTGATATCTGAGCATTAGATATGTGACAGTGTCTAAAATCTACCTGCGTTACCCAGCAGTTTGTCTAAAATCTACCCGTGTTTGCCAGCAGTGTGTCTAAAATCTACCCGTGTCAGTCAGCAGTGTGTCTTAAATCTACCTGTATTAGCCAGTAGTGTGTCTTAAATCTACCCGTGTTAGCCCCTTTTCAAATCCCCCCCCCCAACCACGGGCCTGTTAAATTCATTGAACACCACAGTGGGCGTAACATTGTCTAGCGGCGGCAGGGGGTGCAAGGGTTGGAGGGGGGGGGGAGTGTTGTTATATTTCACATCAATTTTAATTGTTTCAACTCCGAGCCTTCTCGTCATGTCACGGCGATTTATTAGAGGCTATTTCGCTCACTGCGCATTTCCTGGTCATTTGAGACAACTTCTTCATACACGTGTTTAGAAATGAAATACTTGCACTGGCAAGTGCATAGATAACCATGGATAAAAAAAAAATGTGTATTAAAAAAAACAAAACCAAAAAAAAAAAAAATTCTCATTTAATACCACACAATTTTTTGTTTCTGTCTTGCGGA